GCCAAAAAATTTTAAATAATAAAATCAACTCACTGGGTTGTAGAGCTTGAAATCATTTTAACATCTGCAGTAGAGTGGAATGGCACAATTCAATCTGCTAAATTGAACTGAATCTGGTTGGAGATTTTACTTTTCAATTAAAAGACCTCAACATTGATTTAGGGTGCAAAAATCTTTAGTCCTGGATATAATTTTGTGGACTTTGCACTTTGAAGACATTTACATTTGACAGTAACCGAATCAAATGCCAAAAAAAATGCATTTAATAGCTGTACCTGCTAAAATATATAGCTAGATCATTCTTTAAAAATGAGGTTTTCTAATAAGGTTTTGCCCAGATCTGAAAATCCAAAGATGTGTGTGTTTTTCTTTTACCGTTTTCTTTCCAATTATAGTTGACCTTCAATATGATATTAGTTCCAGGTGTACAGCACAGTGGTTAATTTAAATAACAAAATTTGGTTTTAAATGCTTATAACCATTATATACATTTATATAACAAGAAGATGTGATTTTCAGTGCTTGTAATATATATATTCAAAGAATACATCCAAGGTGCCCTTTAATGGTGAATTCAGCTTGCATTTCTAGAGAAACCCAGTAGGCTGAAAGAACTTTAATAAGGTTTTGAACATAAACTACAGAGTGGCCGTGGAGTTCGGGGGCCACATGCCAGGGATACAATCACTGCTCCATTCCCCAGGAGGACCAAGGTGGTGTGAGTTCCACAGAAAGGATGAAAGGAAACGAATGCATAATTACATGTGCAAAGGGAATTTCCTTTTCAAGCTCTTATAAGTATAATCAGTTGTTACTGAAAAGAAAAAAGAATATAAAAGGAGTGCATAAAACGCCTTACAGAGTCACTTCTCTGTGAAATGTGTCCTAAGAGACCTGCGCTGCAAGGGAGCAGCAAGGCCGTGAGGTTGTCGAGGACCTGAAACCTGCACCGAGGCTAAAGGTTCACGGCCCAGCTCGGCCACAGCCCCGCCAGGTAACCCACCCTTTCTGTGCCTCCATTTCCTCAGTTATAAAATGAAAATAAAAATAAAAATAGGACCGACTCACAGGGGTATGATGTCAATTAAGTGAGGTAACATAAGTACAGCATTTAGAATGGCGACTGGAACACTGTAAACACTCAATAAATACTTATTTTGCTGCTTCTTTTTATTTTTTTCTTCCTTCCCCTTCTCATCACCTCCTCTCTTTCCTTCTCCTTCTCTTCTGTTTTACGTAAATAAGGGGCCCGGCCGGCGTGGCTCAGCGGTTGAGCGTAGATCTAGGATCCAGGCGATCGGGGTTCGAGTCCCGGTCAGGGCACATGCCCGGGTTGCGGGCTCCATCCCCAGTCGGGGGCGTGCAGGAGGCGGCCGATCAATGTCTCTCATCATTGATGTTTCTCTCTCTCTCTCCCTCTCCCTTCCTCTCTCTGAAATCAATAAAGATGTATTTAAAAAAAATAATAATAAGGAAAAGGCATACTAACTGATTTGACTTACGTATTAGTCTAAACTTAATACTATAAATATGCAACCAGTAATATTTCAGCCGGACATATACCGTTAGATTTAAATTGGCTCTTCTGAGTTTTGCTATTCAGACATTTACAATAGTCAATTAATACTGTATGTTACTAAAGAACCTGTACTCATTAGGTATCATTCTCTTTGTTCACATTTTATTTTTCATGTTCTTTTCTTCAAATTATCTGTAGAGCTTAGAATTTCCACTCAACCCTGAAGGCTAAAATAAAACTTTTCAAACAACTAGCCCCAAACTTCCAGAGGTTCTACCTAGACCTAATCTAAAGGTAGCAGGAAACACAACGCACAACTGAAGATTCATCAGGAGAGATTTAGCCGACTGTAACTCAGTTTGGGTCCTGTCAATGAGAAACCCTGTTGTGTGCTTTTGGTGTCCAGCTGCTCAGAGGTATTTTATGCTTTGATATCAAAGATGAAAGGAAATCTCCTAGGAGGAAAGTGAATGTATAATCACATCAGCTATGGATTCCACTAAGAAAATCAACTACTTTAACCCATAGAAATGTCCCAGGGAGACTCAGAGCCAAGGTAACCAATTCAACATCTAAAGGAAGATATATGTAAAGACAGTCATTGGTTTCTAGCTCCATACTGACTACTTTGAAAATGTCCCCTTTTCCAGAAAAGTATAGACCTCTAAATTAAGATACATTTTTTTCTTTGTTTTTATTGTTGACACTATTACAAATGTCCCCATTTCCCCCCACTCTTGCCCACCTCCACCCAGCCCCCCCTTTCCCTCTGGCCATCACCACACTGTCGTCTGTGTTTATGGGTTATGCCTATATATGTTCTTTGGTTAAATCAGAAAATTAAATCAAGAAATAGTGTGGTAAAGGCCTGGGAAGGGGATGGAAATAGGGAGGGGTCAATGGGGGGACAAAGGGACATCTGTAATATTTTCAACAATAAAGGCAAATATAAAAAATTCATAATAAAAAAATAGAAGGTGCTAAGCTTCTTTGCAACAACATAGCAATTTACAAAAAAATTATTAGCTCTCATTTAAAAATTCTCAATAAATGTGAGAAAACATTTAAATTAGACATCTTTTTATTATTAGCTAAATTTTTCAAAATGTTAGGCTGGAAGGTGATGGAGATGACAATTCTGAACTCTTTTTTTTCAACGTTTAATTAACTAGTAAAAGATTTAAATTGGCAACTCTTCCTGCATCTCCATATTTCATAACATAAAAAGCAATGATGGCATGCTATCCTGATGGTGTTATAACACGTAATGTGTAATTTTCATTAAATACTTGTTTGAAGGAACATTTATCTTAATACTGATCAGGTTAGTCTGCTCTAGCTGTACTTTTAGGAAACGTACTTTATAAACAAAACCACCCTAGAGGTGAGGAGAGTTCCAGTGTATAGACATATCTGAACTCTTATAGTGCTATTTTAAAATTCTGATGGATATCTGCTGCATGTCAATGATCTAAGTATCATCTGAAAATCCAACAGTCAACTTTTCCAGTATAACAAAGAAGAAAAAAGTCCTCCATTTAAATCTTAGCATTTACTTAACTTGATTTCTCAGCATCATAAGGTAGTTCTAATGCACTGAATTAAGATCTCCAGTTTTATGATTCTTTGCTGCTTTAAACAACACTAAGGATTGTCCTTGGAATAAATGGCAATATTCTAGAAACCTATTTCCCAATGCTTACTCAACAAAACAGTAAGTCTATGAGATACTACTTATAAAAAGATGTTAAGACCAAATGAGAAATGCTAGCTACTCCATCGTTATCACCATCTCATTGTCTCATTAGAATACGTGCTCTCTGAAGGCAAGGAGCTGGTCCGAGCTTTGCTCACTGCCACAGCCCCAAGCTGGCACCGATGCCTTGCCACTAGCAGGCAGTCAGCAGGGGCACATGAAGGAATGAGCAAATGGACATTACAAGCTCTGAATGGTTCTCCAGCCAAAAACACTTCCATTTTAGTCTCACCCAGAGTACCTCACACCCATTTAACCACAGGAATCTTTTGTTTTTTTCTGGTAGCACTATAGAATACTTTATTAAAAACTAAAGAGCACAGAGAATAATATAACCAACAATGCACAGAGAATAATATAACCAACAATGCATCTCTCCACTACCCATATTAAGAATTAAATACTACAAATACAACAGAAGCCTCTTGGGAACTCTACTCCATGTCATTCATCTCATACTATACCTCTTCCTCAAATGAGGTAGCCCTGACACATCCGCTTTGAAAAATCCTGAAATGAGAGAATGCCAAGGTCCCTAAACAAAGATTTTAATTGATTTCTAGATAGTATTTATTTTGGAAATGATCATCTGTAAAGCTATCCATTTACTCCATTGATATAGTAATGAGTAAAAAATAAATGAAACAGCACTATGATACAGAAGCAAGACAACGGACAACTGATGTAATAATGACAGATATAAAGAAGCTAAGCAGCTTCTTTTGCAGATAAACTGATATGAAATCTAAAGACAGATATAAGGAACTTAGAGATGTTTGTTACTTAACCTAGACTTATCCTAACAATTCTGACATACAAAATCACCCGAGGGTGCAAAAATGAAACAGACTAGATCACTGTCCCAGCAGGCCCGCATTTACGCAACAGATGCTGCTAAGAAAAGGAGGAGACCCTCTTCCTGAGCTGAATAAACAGCTACTAATAAAAAAAAAAAATCTCTTTTATCAAGATCCAGCATGCTATGATAGAGAAACACAATGAGCTAACATAATTTAATAGGAAAAGAACTATTTTAAAAATTTTTGTCAATATTTTCACAGCCTTCTTTGGGTAAAACAAGCCTTTCTTCCTCATATCTTCAAGTACTGTTTTAGATATTTCTAAATTGGCTTAGAAACGCTTTAAGCATGCTCTAACTAAATGTTCTTTTGCATATTTAATTTTTGTCCCTTGCTCCAGATAAAAGGTAAAAGTGCCTAGCAAAAAATATTTCCACATTGCTCTATTTCTTAATATTATTTATAAAGGATACTGAATATTCAACTTAGTGAAAGAAAAAAAACCCACAATCGAACTTAATACCTGTCCTGTGTAGAAAATCACATACACAATTAAATCGAGAAATAGAGCAACAAAGAATACGAACATATGTGGGGCGTATTAGCCTTAATCTTCTCGAGCTTAATCTTCGCCATTACCCCAGTACTCCCTGCACTAAACAATGAAGCTCGGCACGTACAGTTTCCATTGCTGACTGCTGTCAGGTCGGTGTTCTAGGCAATTACGTGGATTAGAGTTTCCTTCTATTCTTGAAACCATTTTACTTTTCAAGCCAAACCACTGAACTCGTCTCCTGTTAAATACCAACAGAAAGTGCTAGGTAACCTCACTATTTAGAAGCCCAAAAGTCCTTTCTCACATTCAAAGAAATGGAATGGATTTGGATCTAAAAATATGTATAAAAGAAAAAGTGTCCATTCCTACCTCCATTATCCTTTAGATGTAGTGCTATCTTGGTATCATCTGAAAGAGAAATTCAAAGTTATTACAACAGAGAAAAAGTTAAAAATCCATAAATCTCATGAGCGGTAATTGTCCAGTAATATCTTAAAATAACATGAATAGATTTTAACACTTTAGTGAGTCAATTTCTAGTTCAATGACAGCAAGTCCTCGCTTACATGATGTAGCATTAAAATCTCTTCTTGAGATCAAGACTTTAGTAAAGTATTATATAATTCTTAAGATCTGTGTGAAAAGTACACTGTTATAATTGTAACTTAAAATATATTTATTTTTAATTTTCAAAAATGAGTTATTGTAACTAGACTGTATAGTATGACCTTCCTCATTCACTTAAAAAATTAAGATCAAGAAAATTTCAAATTAATTGGAATAGTGAAGATTTGCTAATATTTACAAATTTAACTTCAAAAGTTAAATGCTTATTCATTGTCAATAAACATATCCAACATCACATGAAAAAAATCTTGTCTTTCATCGACAAAATGTAAGTATACTTCTTTATTTCAGTTGTTATGTTTCGGTCTAAAGGGTAGGATTCAAATTGCAAGAATATTTCACAGGGTAAGCCAATTGCACAAATATTTTCACAGGCTATATAACAACCCAAACCATATGGATTAAAATATAACTTCAGTTTTAAATATTTAAATAAAATATATTTAACACCTGTCCTCTACCTCACTATCACTTTATTCCAGTTAACTTTTAATATCCAAGTAAATGTCAGGAAAAGCAAAGGCTTGAATAATTCCTTATTCAAATGAAAGAAAAGTTTAGTACACTAAAGAAGTGAGACCCCCTTTCCCCCAAAAAAACTTACTCTTGGCCAACTAGTCTCACATTTCTCTTCAGTGGCACCATTCAGAATATTAACAAACTTTGGCTAATATTCCTCTTCCCCCAATGAGTTGTACCCATGCATTAATGGACTCTGGTATGTTTCTCTTCCCTGGCCAAGGAAATGTTTTCAAGGATAATTTCTGGGACGTATATAGTGCCCTTCTGTAAGTTATGGTCCAACATATTATTGATTATATTCAGGCAAATATGAGAATTGCATATGAACAGAATTATCTATTGTTCAGAATCCAAAATTGATGAACATTTTATATAAATCTTGCCTTTCTATCCTGTGACTAAAATGTTTAATTCAGTTACGGCAAAGTTTAGCAATATAAAAGGAAGTCTCTATTTCTTTTCTAGGGAGGAATAGTAGGTAATATTGAAAGGCACAGACAGTAAGAGAATCCCAGCACCTTATTATTCCATCATAATTTTGGCTTTCCCCTTTAGAAATACAGTTTGCTAAAACAAAACAGAACAAAATAAAACAAAACAACAAAAAAACCTTTCCCTCTACAGAACTATCAGAGTTACATGTCAACACCATGAATTTTCTCTCCTTCAGGAAAAAAACAAAGCAAAAATATCTCCAGGACACCTTCTGTGGGCAGGCTGGTGGGCAGCTGGGATGTCGCTGCTCTTCTGGTGGTCGTTAGGACCCTGAACTGTGTGGTGGTGGCTCGCACGGTTGTGGTGGTCTGAGAAGAACTTTCCACTGGCTCTGTATTCTCACACATCTTCTCTTTTGACTAGTAAGAGAAACAGATGGGAAAACAATTTAAGAGTGATCATATATTATTTAAAATTACATCGAAGAAGTTGGTCTGTAAAGCACAAAAGACTCTCAAATCAACATGAGGGATACATTTTTGTACAGGACTATATTTAGAGATTTTGCTAATTTACAAAGTATGTAACAATAAATGAAAGAAAAAATTGGATGTAACAAAGCATTTCCATCTTTAGATATTTGGATTTCATCACTTTCTGCTGATAACCTAACATAATACTAGTGTTTATCTTGCTCTAAATTTTATATCAGTATATTTGTAAAAGACATGATGTCAAAAGGGAAAGGTTCATACAAGAAGAAAAACATGTGCCTAAAGATAAGATTTAAAACATGCTTAGGTATGTGAAGAAAGAATGCATTCCCTCCATATCGAACTGATAAAGACAAATTCTAAAAGTTTGGTAACTGCTCCATACTACTTTATTGTTTTAAGAATAATCCCCCACAGACTGAATGGGTATATAAAATTTTGTTTCCCTTTGTGAAATAGTGAAACCACCCAAGCAAAGGGTTGAGCAGCGCTCATGTAATCACTTAGCCTATCTTTTCCTTAGCAGAGCTGTACTGAGACACCAGGGAAAGGTGCATGTCATATTTTTCACCTATAGCCTATAAAAATAAATCCTATAACCTTCACCAGTAACAATCTTCAACATTCAAACTTTTATGGTTTGGAATTTGGTGTTTCTCCCAACACTTTGTGCTTCAAAGAACTCTATCCCTCTGATGGGCCTTGAGTAGACAATAGCTATTCTGACATGTAAGGCACTCCTTCCACATTTGAATTTATTATTAAATAAATACTTTTCTTAAACTTTTCTTGTCACTAGTGAAGTACAATGCACTTTACTACTGCTTAGAGAGAGTTCCTGAGATGGCTTCCTTTTCACTGATTGGATATGACACAGATTTATTCTCTACTTTAACATTCCAGAGACCCATTCAATTTTCCTGACTTTAGTTCCTGCATCTTCTTATCCCCAAAGATCTCATGATCTCCCTCCTAACTCCACTTTTGTTATCATCTCCATATCCTGGACTTTATCTGTAGTTGGAAATACTTTACTTCTGAAATAAAAACTCCAGGTTTTCTATTTTTAGCCTATCCATGTACCTGTTCACTGAAATTCTTCTTATCCTGTGACTATATAGAAAGCCCAAGAGCAATTATTTTCTTGTTTAATGTCTTTTTTCCTGCTATCACATCAACTTCTCTTTTGATTAATATGCATCTTTACCCTATTCTTCTTTCCATATCACCTCAGAAAATCACCAATACTGAATATAGAAAAAAAAAAAAAATCTACCTTTTCCCTGCCTGCTCCAAAGCCAGGCACAGTTGGAGAACCACAGAGCCCCTCACAGGGAGCTCTGTAAACTTACCTCCTGCATCCTCAGCAGGGCCTTCTAGGCTGCTTGGAAACACCGGCCTTACTAACCCCCTCTCCCATTACCCTAAGTACCAATTTCAAACCCTTTTCACTCTACTTAAAAACTCTAATCCCATAATGCCTCTACCAATTTTATCCCATGGGCTCATTTCTTATTTTCTAAATAAAAGAGCCATCATCAAGAATTCTTCAATTTTCTTTACAAATCAGCATTCTTCCTTGAATCTTTACTAACCTATTCTTCTTTCCTTCTGTTCTAATAGATGGGATCCATGATTTATAGCTACTCTCTCAATCTCCACACTGCCCCAACTCAGCCCACCTTCTCAAGTATTGTTCTTAGATTCTCACTTTCCCCATTTATGAAAATTTTGTTTTTACCCAGTCCACCTTAATTGATATTTATCATACCAATGTTTCTAAATATCTCCTTATTTACTAAACCTTCCATGGTATATACTGTTGATATCTCATCAGCATGTGGTACAGATGTCTACTTTCTAATCTTGGGTTCTGTGACACACATGCTCATCAATTTTCTAATGCCTCTCTAAAAACTCCTCAGTTTCCTTTAATCCTGTCTATCCCTTAACTGTTGGTGGGTTTTATGGATCTTTCCTGATCCATCTTTTCACTGTATGCATTCTCACTAGCCATCTCCTCCACACCCTGGATTTCAATTAACATCTTTATGTTGATTATTCATAAATCTGTATCTCTAGTCCACATTTCTCTCTTGGACTTTAAATCCAAATATTTATCTGCTGACTTAACATATGCACATGGATGTCATAGATATCTCAAACTCAGTAAGTTTATAATGGGACTTGCCACATACTAGTCTCCTCCCGTGTTTTTATTTCAAAACAACAACAACAAAACAGTATCATCAAAACCCCTAAATTTAAGGTAAACTTTTGGACTTGGTTTGCCTATGGCAGTAAAGATAGACTAAAGATTGCAAATGCAAGTAGGCTGCAATACAAACAGATTCTGGATAAAACATGAATTTTAAAGCATGACTAGGGTTTGCAGGAAGTAAAAAAAAAAATCTCCAAGGATGCCTTTCTATTGTCTCCCCCGCAAAACAATGCCATATGGACAGCAGGGGCAGAATACATTAAGTAAAAATTAGGGCTTGTTTTGAGGGTAGAAATGTCAGAAATCAACATTGCTCCAAGGAGTTCAAGCCTGTGCCAGCGCTAGGTGGGGGAGGTAAAGCTAAACCTCTCTTCCTCCTATGAAGGCAGTTACATATGGTGTCTTCTAAAACCCTCAGGTTGCCATCATCAACCCTCTTTGGTGTAAAGCATAACCTATGCAGTTCACAGGGATTCCCATGGAATAAGGGCAACATAAATATGCATTTCTAATTAAAGGGAACAAGAAGAAATACGAAAAGAAAAATAGTACTTCCACAAAGAGTAAAAACAATGAATGACGTATTTAGACTACCAAAAACTTTAGACCCTGGGGTCATCCAATATGACATATTTAAAAATTATATATGAAATACTTAAATGAAAGGTAAAATTTAAAAATGAACTAGTAACATAGACTATAAAAATGATTTGGCAGATCTAATAAAGTGTCAAATTTAAATTTTAGGAATAAAAATATACTTGTTAAAATAACTATCCCAATGAAAGATTAAATAGCAGAGGAAACAAGATGAAGGGAGAATTAATAATCTAGCAAATAGGTCTGAAGAATTTTCCCGGGACACAGCTTAGAGAAATAAGATGGAGAATACACTAGAGACACAAAAGATACAAGGAAGCGATGAGAAGGTCAAGCCTAACTCCAAAGAACTCAGAAGGTGAGAAAGAGAATGGAAAAGGTCAAATTGAATTGTACATTTATCAAACTTGACACCCAATCGATTACAAAATACATTTTTGAGCACATGTACACCATTCGTTCAAATTATCCATGTGCTATTCCATACAAAAGTTCCAACCAATTTTAAAGAATCAGTATTATATAGAATATGCTCCCTAACAACAATTTAATTAGGTTAGAAGTCAATAAGAAGACAATAAAGTTTTAAAATGTCCATAATTTGGAAATGCATTATAACTCACAATTCAATGTAATTACAACAAATACTTTAATTAGATTGATGGATTGCAGATTTTGACAAGTTGAGTCTAAAATTTATATGAAGAACAAAAGCCCCAAACAGTCAAAGCACTTCTGAAGAAAAAGGAGACTCGTCCTATGGATAGCAAAATTAATCATAAAATGATAATAATTAAGACAGTATGACACTGGTTAGGGTATTGACAAATTGAGTGTTAGAGGAGGCGATCCCAAAACCCAACTCCCTCTCTGTGTGGAAACTATATAAGAAAGAGGTGGCTTTGAACGAAATTGCCAAAAGAAAGAACTATTCAATAAGAGCTGCTTGAAATTACCCATAAGGGAGAAAAATTCCTGCAAATCTAAATTTCTATATTATACATAGAAAGCAATTCCAAATGGAATAAAGATTTAAAATTTTTTATTTTTTATTTTTGTTAATTTGTGTTTAAAATATTACAGATGTCCCTTTGTTCCCCAATGAATAAGGATTTTAATGTGAAAGAAAGTTTTAAAACATTCAGAAGAAAATATATGAAAATAACCTTATGAAGTTTGGCAGAAAAAGTCATTTTAAACAAGATATACATACACATAAAACTAACGATAAAATAAAAGATTGATTAATTTGTACATCAAATTATGAATAAATGGTAAATAAGTAAAATCTTAGAGACATTAAAAAGATAACCCAAAATCTGGAGGAAAATATATACAAGTGGAGATACTAGCTAGGACAATAATACAGCAAAAATAAATAAAATGATATTAGGAACAGAAAGTAAGAAGCAAAGCTGTCATCACTTATAGGTGATATGATTAAAGAGAACCACTAAGTACCTTGAGATATATTTTTTAAATTAACAAAAGAGTTTTGTAAGGTGGCTATCTCTCAGATTTATTATGTCTGTTACAAATAATCAATGAATGTTAGTGTTACAAATAGAAAGAGAACATAACTACTCAATAAAAAAATGAGAAAAAGATATGAACAGGCATCTCACAGAAGAGGAAAGACAAGAGAAACAGAAGCCAAAAAGCTAAGAAAGTACAATCAATTTAATTAACAATTGGTGAGATGTAAATCAAATTCCCAATAAGATACCATTTTACACACATTAGATTTGCAGAAATGAAGAAATACGACAAAACCATGCTTTTCAGGATCATGAAATAATGAGAACTTGGAGTTCCAGTACTGTCCAGTAGTGTAAGTTTGCAAATTGGAAGCGATTTGATATTAACTTTCAGAGTTGAACATACACCTAACTGACATGTAGTAATTCCACTTTAAGGAATGTACGAGACATTCTTGTACATTTAATTCAGGAGGCAATCATACAATCTTTTTGTAACAGAAAAAATCTGAAAATAATGCCCATAAACGAAAGACTGTAACAACATGGATCTAGCCAAGAACATATATGCATAGCCCATTGTCACAGACAACAGTGTGGTGAGGGCCAGGGGAGAGGAGGGCAGGGTCTGGGTGGAGGTGGGCAGAGGGGGAGAGGGGTGGGGTCAGGGACGTCTGTAATAGTGTCAACAATTAAAATAAAATAAATAAAATAAAATGTTGAGATTCTAAAAAAAAAGATATACATATATACATGTATATGAACATATATATATATATATATATATATATATATATTTTTTTTTTTTT